TAACTCTAAAAGCTGAAGAAACACCACGTTTGCTGAAGGGGAGAAGATACAAAGGAGGTAGGACATGAGGCAGTATGGAGATGGTAAATAACCACTTTTCAACAGTCAAAATGCTAGGTTAGATGGCCATCCATTTCCTCCCAGTTTTCCAACATACTGCCTTGAAAAGAAAATGGGAGCTAGTGGTTGACTGAGGGCTGTTAGAGATGTCACTGAATAATCAGAGGAGATAGCTGAGAATGAAGATGACTGAAGGTTACTGATAACTGAATGAAGATAACCTCACAGGTTTTCATCTGCACATGGCCAACTGACAGTTGAATCATCTGGGATGTTCCACAAAGATCCTGGTTAGCAGTTGGTTTTAACAGAAAAGCTATGTGCAAATAAAATCTCCAGGTTTGTTAATCTTAGGCAGTCAGCTTTCAATGGCTAAATGAGCCAACTGTCACAGAGGGCTGTGATGATAAAATGATGATTCAGTGAACACAGGGAGAGTTCCTTCATTCATTGAGCTTAATCCTTCTACCCCACAAGTCAGTTTGCTTTGTTATTGATTTTAACATTGCAGGACTACGCCCCTTAGAAATTGTAATGCAAACTGCCTGAAAAGAAGGGATGTGGGGTGACATCCCATTGCCATGAAATAAGATAGAATTCTTAGAAAACAGTGACGGAGTTTTGGTCCTCAAAATGCAAACTGTATGTGGATTGCATACTACTGTTTATGAGAGATGAGGGTGACCCTTCTACCTCCAGTCGTATCAGTTTTGTATGTAAGCATTTTTAAGTCATCTATCATGAACGGAATTGATTTAGTGTAAGTATTGCCCTATATTCTTCATGAAAAATTTATTGAGCAATTACAAGGAAAAGGAAGAGGTGTAAGAGGAGCATACTGGCTGCCGGTAATATGCATCAGCACCTGCAAAATTATGTAATGTATTATTAAATACCTTGCTTTTTAGAAGTGGGTGATTCTGTTACCAGGGTCAATTTCATTGCCGGTATTTCATAGTCTTCTTGATCAAAAATTTCTTTTTTTTATGACAATCAGTGATATTCAGCATTGGTGTGAATTGCATTAAAGATTGCATACATTAATGAGATGTGTTACCTGCTGGGGAGTTCTCTGTGACTGCAGCTTGCTCTTCAAACATACTTTATCAAAGGGAGAGAAATTTACAAGATTCTTCTTTTGATAAGAAGTAGGGCTGCTGGAGCTGCCTTGTGCAGCATCACTATGAGACATAGACGGTGCTTTGGTGAAGCAATACGATCACAGAACTATTAATTCATGCCAAACTTCAGCTGGTTTGCTGTGAAGGGAAAAAACAGCAGCAGAAATATTGCCTTGTTTGTAAGCAAATGGTTTGAAGCTCTGACTGCCAAGCCAGAGCACTGGTCCAAATGGAGCTGAATCAGCGAATAGAATAGAATAGAATAGAATAGAATAGAATAGAATAGAATAGAATAGGTTACTTACCCCAAAGGAGCTGGTTCTTAGCTGGCCATGGCTTTAGCTTACTGATAGAGATGGTCTCCACTGTATTTGACTGGCAAGCCCATTATGCTAAAGTGTTTTCATCCTTTCTCCATGCAATCAGATTTTGCTTTCCCAGGTCTGAGCTGCTAATTTTTAGATGGCACCAATAAAATAAAAAAAAAAAAGGGAAGGCCTTATTATTCTAAAATGCACAAGTGCACGGGAAAGTACCATGTTCCCCGCTTCCAGGAGTCAGTAGTTGCTCTTCTGCCTGCTTTAGGATAGCTGGCTCCTCAACGTTTGTGTCAGACTGGGGTAGACCCGCATGCAGGACAATAGCTTGTCTACAGTCCTGTACCCATTAACTGTAAGATTTCTCTACAGACAGTTGCAAGGTGATGTCATCCCTGTTGGCTGGCTGGCAAAGGGCAAAACCAAACAGCAGGAGGTGAGCAATCTGCCATGCGACCTGCACCTTGTAGTCTCTGCCATCACATTGGATTGACTTCTCACTTTCTTGAACCTCTCAGGTGTCAAAACTTGTCCCTTTTGCAGGTCTTGCCCTTAATAGTGTTTTGTGCCTAGCTTGAAATGGAGGTGGATTTTATTGTGCTTTGTTGTGAAATAATTGCACAAAAAAACACATTTTCAATTTCAGAAAAGTTTTACTTAGGAGTCCTGAAATTTAATTTCACAGGTTTCTTTGATTCTTTTTTTGATCTTTTTTCTTTAATAGTAGATTTTTACAAATGTTTCAAATCAAAATTGTTGTTGAACTAGAAGCTCTACTTAGTGGTTTCTAAAAATATACAAATGGTAAAGATTAATCATAGACTCCTCCAGAAATCTAGTTGGGAACGGACCTCTGGAGGTGTCTAGTCCAACCCCCTGCTCCAAGCAGGACACACCCATCAGGTTGCTGAGTGCTTTGTACAGGCAAATTTGGAAAAACTTGTGAGGATGGAGACCTCCTGACCTGTCTGAGCCTGGTCCCATGTCTGTACCACTCTCCTGAGGAAGAAGCTTTTCCTTATGTCCAGTGGGAACTCTTGTTGCAGCTTGTCCTTGTTGCGTCATCATGTACCTCTAAGAAACTTCCGTCTTCTCTGTAGCTCTTCTATTTAGGCAATGGATGACTGCAACCTGACACCCTCCACCTCACCTTTTCTTCTCCAGACTGAACAGACATGGTTTCCTCATCCTATCCTCGTACATCATGTGCTCCCACCCCCAGACCATGTTTAGTGGCCCTGCTCTGGACTTGCTCCAGTGTTGGCTTCTCTTTTTTATGGGGGACCCTCACACCAGTTACAGGTACAGGTACAGATGCAGCCTCATCAGTGCTCTGTAGAGGAAGTAGTCACTTTCTTCCAGCAGCTGTCTACACTTTTGCTACGCAGCCCAGGCTGCCATAGGCCTTCATGGGCAGACTTGAATCATGTTCTGTGTCCTGTCCACCACTGTTCCTTTTCTGGCCAGTCATGCCCCAGCTTGCACTGCTGCCTGGGTTTATTCCATCCCAAGGGCAGAAGGTTTCTATTTGCCTTGGTTGAATTCCATTAGGCTGCTATCCATAACTTCTAGGTCACATTCTTTTTCACTCATCTTCACAAATAGTGTGGCCTCCCAGAAGGCTGACCTGTCATGATACAGAGGAGATGCTTCTTGTTCATTTGTGGAATTCTGGTAGCCATAGACATCATATACTGTAAGCTCAATGACCATGTACTACCCAAACCTAAGTATCTACAGAGGTCCTTATTACAGAAGCAACAGCTGTCTGTCATGAATACATGGCTTGTAGCAGTTTGGTTACATTATACGCATTTTCTTTCTGTTTTAAAAAGGGCATGTGTCCTTGCCCTTTCTGCATTAAAATGCACTTGGCAGATAGTTCTCCAGTTCTTGCTGTACTCCTGAAATTAGCATGCACCTGTGAGTCCATTAATTTATCTGCACAGTTTTAAGGCATTTTGTAGCAAAGCAGATGCATAGTGAACTGAAGGAAGTGACACCTGTCCTCATAATAAAGTATTTAAAGATGCCACTCTTGCTTAAAGAAAATAGCAATTACGATTCAAAAGATATTTTTTTCCTCTAAGAAACTGGTGTTTAAAGCAAGATTTTAAGTGTGTAGACCTATAATTACAGTGCCTGCAGTGGTTTCTGCTCACCAGAAACGGTCACTTCATCAGAGAATTGTTGAACATATCTGAAAGATATGAGCTTGATTCTTCTAGAAGCACTTCTGGTGGGAATGCTGCACCTGCTAATTAGAAAATGGCAGGTTTTAGAGAAGCTGCTTTTAACATGGCATGATTTGTTTTCCTGCTGTAGCTTTCTGTGTCATCTTAAACTGGGTTTCCTTGCTGACATAGACCAGCTCCAGTTTTAACACTCTTGTCTTTGTCCCTGGACACCCTTGGAAGAAACAATGGTTTAGAGCCAGAAAGTTAGGGAGTGGGGCATCAAGCAAGCTGTAAAAACCCTATAGGCCTCATTTAACATCTTGAAGCATAGGAGGTGTCCTTTGCTTTTGTTTTGCCCTGGCTAAACTCTACATTCTTAAAATAGCCTGTATGTCATGCTAAAGACAGCAGACACTGAAGGGTCACTGCTGGGAAGAGATGAGGTCAGCTCTACTACCCACTGTACTACATGGCAGTGTGGGTCCTACCCATCAGAGTGGTATTATGTGGGATGGGTTGCTTTTGCAGGAGCAGACAGGGCAGTTACCATGCCGCTTCTCTCTTCTCTGTGTAATCATGAGCCTTCACTCAAAGAGGCATTGTGCTGCGTGGGCAGGCAGGTCTTCTAGGTGTGGAAGTCACAGACTGGTTTCTGCCTGCAGAAAGGCTGCAGGATAGCAGCCTTCATCACTCAGTACAGTGCAGGTGAAAGTCTTTATGCCATTAATCTTGGGAATGGGCTCATCTGAGGAAGTTTTCCCAGCTGAAGCCACCACGTTCTGCACATAGCCGTGTTCTCGGCAGTTGCTGCTAGGGTGGGATGGGTGTGGTCTGTCCTGAAGCCTCCACAGGACAGGACACGGCAGGCCTTGCCTCATCTGAGTGGGGTCCATGGTCTGCCTATGTGTCTATGAAGAGAGCCGCAGGCCTCTGACAGGCCAAAACCAATGACACCGTTTGGTCCAGAAGTAATGATTGGCTATAGTGAAAAGTAAATGTTTACAGGAAAACACTGGTGGGGACAGGAAAGGGATTGTCCTCTGGCATGCCTCTGGATCAATTCCAGGGTAAGACAGCCTTGCATCTGGATCCAGAGAGCACAGGTGGTGAAAACAAAATACTAGTTTTGTGTTGGACTGTCCTTGGGGGTTTGCAGCTAGGAGTCACTGTCTGTCAGAGTCTGGCCACTGTCTTGGCCTGTCACCCAGCAACTACTTGCATTTTGTTCTCCTACGTTCCCCTGTATCATGAAGGAGAGCCTGTCATGGTGCTGCTCCCCTCTTCCCTATGCACAAACATGAACTAACGCTTTGCTTTCCTTGCAGGAGCAGTCAAGGTTTTATGCACATGAAACTGATGAAAACCAAAGAGAAATACATCCTGGGTCAGAACAGCCCTCCCTTCGACAGTGTTCCTGAAGTCATCCACTACTACACCACAAAAAAGCTGCCTATAAAAGGAGCAGAACACTTGTCACTGCTCTACCCTGTGGCTGTGCGGACCCTCTAATAACCTAGTCTCACCCCTTCCTGTGGATAGGAGGTGAGAGGTAAGCTGGGTTCCACAGAATTCATTGCCGGAATTCAGTGCTTGAGTCTGTGATGGAGAGTGGCAGCCTTTAGTCTTGGGAACGTGAGCGCTCTGCAGAGTTGTGTATGGGACTGTGTGTATGGTACTTTCATGCTGCAGCATGCCTCTAGAACTGTGCTTCTACATGAGAGAAAGAAATCTTATTTTAGTGCAAGAACAGATAGCCTTCCCAGAGATTCTCTGTGAGTGAAAGTACTTCCCAGCAAAAGTTCTTCCTCCATGTTTTGAGCAGAATCAACAAGTTCTTCTCAGCAGTAAAACACCAGCAACTTTTATTCTCTTGCTACCCTGAGAAACTTCTCCATGTGAAAGAGTAATGTGACTCTGAGGGACCCTAGGGTGTTCTTGGTGCACCTGAGAAGGAGCTGCTTAGCAGGCAAGCCCCTGCGGCTCTGGTCACTTAGCTTGGTGGGTTTTGGTTTTTTAATGCAGTTTCTTGGGGTAGTCAAATGTTGAACTCCTATTAGGCACACATTTTATCTTAAAATAATTTTGTGACGGCAAATCATGGTCAATTATTTATGAATAGGGAATGTAATTAAAAAGTAGTTTGTTATACATTTTTACCCTTTTTGGTACAATAATCTCTTAAAAGTTACTGTCTTCATTTGCAAGTTTCATTCATAGATGCAGGCAGCTAATTCTGCTAGGGGCAGTTACACTGTAATGTTTTAAGTAGTTGAGAATGAGTCATTTTAATATGCAGGTTAGTATTTATGCATGAGGGTTGTCAAAGGCTTTTATAAAGCTTTAGTAGGCAAAATCTTCACTTGCTCATTCATCTGAATCAAACAGTTGTCTCACTGAGGTAGCAGACTAACAAGTGTGTGTCACACTGCCTTTTCATAAGATGGCTTTTGCAGCTGTGTAAATGAGAACTGCAGTATGTAGCAGAGCAGAAGTTTTTTTTCTGGTGTACCAAGGCATTCTTAAAACATGGTCCCTTGACACATACCTTCTGGCCAGTGTTCTTTTTCACCATGAGCAGAAGCCCCCTGCTGTATTTCAATCACTGTCAGCCAGAAGCACTGCAGAAGCTGCTCTGTACCTTGGTCCTGCCAACTCAGTGCCCATCCACTTGAGATATTTTCTACATGCTCTGTGTGCTCGTTGAATGGGATAAGTGAAAAAAATACAATTGTGCAGAAATTGGAACTGGGTAATCAATAGCCCGGTAGTCCTCACTTTGTGCCATCTCCCACCTATGACTAGAAGGTTGTGCATTAACCCATCAGCTGTTGTAGTAGCAAACTGGTTGTACGCAGTTTATGTATTTTACAGACTGCAATAGGACTGTGAAATTGTGTGTTATTTAATTCAGCTTTCTTACCTACTATTCCCTTTTCTGTATGCTTAGAAAGAAGTGCAAATCTGAAAATTGTAATGGAATAACCACTTGCTGCCTGTAAAAGTAGTGCTTCATTGTATTGTCTAATCTGATAAGAACCTCAAGGATGTCCCATATAATGTCATCAGTGATGAATGTTCTGCTTCCTTTTAAGCCTGCCCTGTTCTTTATATGATATCCAACACAGTTTGAACAGGAGTGGATCACACATATGTGAGGAGCCCAGTGTAATTCTCTGCAGCAACAGTAGTGGGACAAGCTGTCCCTATCTCACCTCAAATTTGAAGCTGCATTGGACTAGGTTCTTACTGGTTTTCTGAGAGAAGGGTGGCACAATGGAGTAGAAAGACCTAACATTCCTCTCCAAGTGAAACCAAATATCCCCTTTTTCATGTACTCACCTGCATGCACCTTTTATTTCCCTAAAGTCTTTGCAGAACTCTTCGTTCTCCTCTTAACGTCACCCCGTTGGCAAGAGCAGGGCACTTTTAAGTTAGCATATTCTTCTCTCACCAGAGTAGTAGTTCATGAAGATGGCAGAGCTCGCAGGGATTAGGAATCAGATTGCATCCACTGCTGTCTGAGTCTTTGCATGTGTGGGCTCTGGCAACTTCATCATGCCCCTTGCGACAGAAATATGTCATGTTTCTTTTTGCATGTTGAAGTGCATTTTTGAGAATCTGACACTGTTGCTGTTCTATGGCCATTTTTCTTCTTCTGTAATGGAAAAGTAAGCCCCTACTCTCTCTAACAGCAATTACCAGTAGAAACCAACATTATCGTTAGCCAAGGCCTTGCCAGTCTTCCTTAAGCACATTGTCTTTAGCTCATGGAGATGACTGTTGTACTGAATCTTTCTTGTCATGGGCTTGATCGAAAATCAGCTGAAGCCAGCAGGTGCCACTTTATTGCTGTCTGCAGATTTTGGTTTGGGATCCCTTGCTTCATACAAATCAGGTCAATATGCATCATACAAACATGTATACAGTTTATTACAACTTCAAGGATCAGAACAGGATTCTTGGTTCAGCAAGAGGAAATCATCTCAGAAAATGTTGGTTGTCTGTGGGAAGGTTTTTTGATTATTATTTAAAAAGACTTTTAGAAAGTACTCAGTAATTGCAGAATAAATAAAACCAGGATTTTGTTTGCACTGTAATGTAGTCTTTGTTTATTTAAGTGATTGTATGATATTTTTCCACTGAAGGAATATTATTCCCAGACTTTTTAATGTACAGTGAAAATACGGTGTGTTGCAGTGTGTAGTATTGCATATAGGTGGAAGATCTCATAGCGATCATGCCTATGTAACACATTAAAAGTTTATTTTAAAAAAAATTATAAACCTCTCCCTTTTCTTCCTCTCATTGTCAACGTGTACTCAGGTTGTCTTAAACAGCTAATAGTTGAAGCGGCCTTTCAGAACAACTTGTGTCTGTGGGTCTTAACTGTGTAGTGAAAGTAATCATTAGGCTATAATCTGGTTTGGAGTCTGGAAAATCATATAGCTCAGTTCTATCCTGAGTAATTCTCTTGACAATATGGACCTTTGCAAGGGCTGTGCCAAAACAACACAGGTGTGTGGGTGAAGGACATTGCTGTCCAATTGCTTGAGGTGCTCAAGGACTCTAGTTATTCCTCTTTACTGTGTAACACTGGTGAATCGCTTTTTGCAGACTTTATAAGAGTTGTTAATTAGTCTTCTATTTTGATGAGTATTTCACAGCATGATGAAAGCCCCGAGCTGTAAACATCTGAACGATGGGTAGGAGCGTTTTAGTGGCCAAGATTACATCTCACAGCTCCTTTCATAATTGGAAAAATCATTAAGGTTTGTGGAAGTACAGTCATCACCATGGGTTCTGTTCTTGACAATAGTTTGTTCTCTGACTCTGAAATTAAGTCTTTAGAGCCAGGATGCAAAGTGCAGGGCTCTCTTAAGTGCAAAGGTACAAAACACACATTTCCAGCTTCTCAGAGAACATGACTTGACCCTATGCTCTGACGAAAACTGCTTGGAGGATGACACATTTATGTGCTGCTCCTCACCACCACAATGAGGCTCAAGATTTGCCCTTTCTCTTGCTGTCATGGCTCAAGTTGGCAACACAAACACTGGGTGGCAACGTTGGTGGAGGCTGCAAATGCCATCTTTCATCCAGGCTCCAATTCCATATTCACCCTGCTGCACTACTAAGCTACACTCTGGGGTACTCAGTTGGTCCTCTGCTGCTGTTAGTTATTCATGCTGTCCTCAGGTTGTACCTAGGGTGGTGCCTGAGCAGAACAAGTAAGGTCTTAACACTTATTTAAATAAACAAACAAACAAACAAACAAACAAACCCCACCCAACACACTGCTGCACTAGCTCCTTGGAGAGGAGGAAAAACAAAACAGAAATGAAACAGACCTGTCTGCACTCCTGGTCTGAGCAAGGGGAGGAGGGAATGAACAGTGGAGAGTCAACTGGTTTTCATACATTCTTTCCTTTTTAATGATCTGCAATGATCCCACATAAAACACTGCTAATTGCTTCCTCTTATTCCTTCTTGCTGGAGTCCCCAGTAAAAAGGGAAGAAGGAAGGAAACCTGATCTAGTTGAAGATGTCCCTGCTCATTGCAAGGGGGTTGGACTTCCAGCTGAAAATATTCTATGATTCTATGATTCTAAATGGCAGCAGCTGAACAAAGTTGTTGGTCTGAAACAAAGCGAATAGAAGTCCTACTGAAAAATCATGTTCATAGGTTGCAAGGGATGACCATGTACAATCCCATTTTCTGAAGCATGTTATTGTCTATCTCGGGCCTTGAGCTCACTCTGAGAACCATGTACCCACAATTCAGATTTGCTGTGTTGAAATCAGTGCTCTGGACCATGTAGTTTGTTCAGTGACAGGATCAATCCAAACATTGCCCATGCCTTCTTAAGTGTCTTTCAGGGTCCCTGGATTGCATTTATTGCTGCTGACAGTTCCAAGACACAAATACAGTAGCTTAATTGCAGCTTTGCAGGACTCAATTTTGTTTCTAAGCTTGGTTCGGGGATTAGTATTACTGTGACATTGCAACAGCATAGGAAAAACAAAATGTTGCGTTCTGTGTGAGACTGTCAGAGCTTTCCTTGGTCCTGGTATTGCCCTGAGTGGCACACAGGGCCCTCAATGCCTACCTATAAGCAAAGCTGATGTGGCATTTCTGTCATTGACTTCTGTTTCTGGGGTCTATGCAATTACTACAGCATAGCCTACAGCACTATCAAGACACAGAAAAAAATCTCAAGGTTCCTACTGCCAGCCACACCACTCGGAGAAGTAACTTTGTGGGACTGATATCAGCATCTCCCCTGTTTTGAGTCAAGCCATTTTGCCACCAGAAAAGGACTGTTTCCCTGTCAGCTAAAGGTCAAAGTGTAGCAGGCTTGTAGACCAAGAGTTTATTCAAGAATAAATCCCATGACTCTCCTGTGTCTGTGTCTCAAACAGACATCCTGGACTGACTCCATCTGGCAGTCCACATTTTGGAGATGACTGTTAGCTGTGATAAACTAGAAGTTCAGAGGGAGCTATTCAGAGGGAGCTTGCTTGGCACAAAGAATGGGCCAGCATGAACCTCCTGGAGTTCCATAAAGGCAGTCCTGCACTGGGATGCACTGACCCTTTGCAAAAGGACATACTGGAGGGTCACCGGTGGGAGAAAAGTAACAAGGAGCTGAACAGAAGTCAACAGTCTGCTTTTGCAGTCATGAAGGCCTACTGCAGTCAGGAGCGGGAAGTGTAGCCAGCAAGTGGAAGGAAGTGATTATTTCCTCTACAGAGCACTGGTGAGGCTGCATCTGGATACTGTGTCTGGTTTGGGTGTACAAGGAGAGATGCTGACAAACTGAAACAAGTCTAGAGCAGGGCCTCTAGGATGGTCTGGGGGTTGGAGCACATGATGTATGAGGACAGGTAGTGGGAATCAGGCTGGTTTAGCTGGAAGAAGACAAGGCAAAAGGGGGGTATCCCAGGGCCTGGGTACCTGGCCTACAAGGAGAGAAATGTTGCTGCTACTTCTAATCTGGTGCTTTGCATCACCTCAGGCTGCTGATGGCTTGAGCTCTCCCTACTGCATTGCTCTCCAGTTTCCCCATGGGAACTCTGGAAGGTATCATTGGAGCCCACTGATGGTAGCTGAAAATATCAAGCTCAATGTTGGGGATTGGGTGGTAGGGATTCTAGCAGAGCCTTTCTGCTGTCAGTCAATCTGATGAGGGTGGGAGTTTGCTTAGGCCTCTTCTACCACCAGCACCTTCCCATCTTCATCACTACCATTTGGTTTGAAGCAGCAGCAGGGAGCAGCCCAACAAAATGGGTTTGGAGCAGGCACTGCATTTAGCATTGGGGGGCATATGGAACACCACACAGACCCAGCTACAATGCAGGTTTGAAAACAAGCTTTGTTATTTTGGCCAGTGTGGCAGTTGACCTGGGTTGGACTTGGCTAAACTTTAGTTCCAAGGAAGTAGACAAGAATATGGGAGTAATTTCAGGGTTTAGTTTAAGAGGCATGCTCCAGCTGCAGTAAGAGTTGGATGCAGAAGTAGTAAAATGGTACGCCAGCACTCACTTAGCCAACACATTCTTTTCCATTCCCATAACGGAAGGGAATGGGAATTCCCTTCAGTTTGCTTTCACCTGGGAAGGAATCCAGTGCACCTGGAATCGATTACCCCAGGAGTGAAAACACAGGCTCACTGTTTGCCATGGACTGATTCAAGAAACCTTAGAGATGGGCAGTTACCTTAAACACCAGCAGTATACTGATGACATCATACTCTGGGGACAAACAAAAGATTAAATATTTGAAAAAAGGTTAAGC